AAGAGGGCCTATTAGGCAGAAGGACTACGCGCTGAAGTTAATAATGCTCAGAGGTCTGCACGTAGTTTGGTACAACTGGAAACCAGGGTGCAGGGTTGGGATCTATCAAGAAACAGTTCAGTATTGGAAAGGCTTATCTTTCAAGCTAATTAGTTTGGGCTTTTGTGTGTGTGCATGTGGAGTTTAGATAAGGGACTGACACAATCAGATTCTTAGAAATGTGTGGATTAGAGGGGTATTGAAGGGGATGCAAGAAAAGTCAGTTGATTTTACTATAGATTTTCTATTAGCAATTTTAAGAATTTACTTTTTTTTTCCAGTGTTGCAAGATTCATTTTTTATAGGAATCTACTTTTTAATATTTTCCTGGACCCTAGCTCTCTCAAAAGTGTTATTTTAGTCTACTTTTTCCCCCCCTCTCAGATTTTGTATTAGTCTGAACTACTATAACAAAATATCACAGATTGGGTGACTTTTACAAAAGAAATTTATTTTTTAAAGTTTTGGAGGCTGTGAAGTCCAAGATCAGGATTCAGCAAGGTAGATTTCATTCTGAGGCCTTTTCTCTTGGCTTGTAGGTAGCTCCATCTTGCTTTGTGTTCACACAGTCTATTCTTTGTGCACATATAGATAGGGAGAGTGAGAGCTCATGAGTTCTCAGGTATCTCCTCTTATTTTGTCCTCAAATGGCCTTTTCTCTGTGCCCGCAACCCTGATATCTCTTCCTCTTCTTATGAGGACACTAGTCCTGTTGAATCAGTGACCCTACCTTATAACCTCATTTAACCTTAATTATCTCTTTAAAGACCTTTTCTCTTAATATAGTCACATTGGAGGTTAGGACTTCAACATATAAATTTTAGGAGGACACAGTTCAGTCCATAACAGATTTTAGGATAATTTTGAAACTTTTGGACTCATTGTTTCTGATCTAATAATAACTAAACATTTTCTCTATATCTGAGATCCTCTTTAATATCAGAACTTACTGCATTTTCCTTTCTCTTTTATATCTGAAGGCCACTACGATCTCCTTTTCAGTTTAATTTCTCTTTAATATGTTCCTGAAGATTCAACCTTACTCTAAGAAACTATTTTCTCTCTATCCTAACTTGTTTCTTCCTTTTCTTTATTTTAATTTCTCTTCTGCTTTCCTGTGGTACTTGGGGCAGTCATTTTCCTTAGAGACAGTTTCTAAAACAGAATTTTTATTTTCTTTGGATAAGCAATAATTTTTTCCAGTTATTTCTCTAGTGTAATCTAAGAAGTTGACATATTTTTCAATAATAACGCTCATTTGTTCTTTTTATTTTGTTAATAAAATCTATCATCCTTTTATGGTTGAGTCCATAATTTTAGTATGAAACCTAAAATTCAAAACCTGGGTTTGAACTCATGGAATTAACAAATTTGGGGCCAACTTGAGTTTGCATAGTTGGGGTGATTCAAGACTGTTGACAGCCCTCATGAATTTAAGGTTAATCTTTCTAAAGTATCTTCCTTTGCCCTGAATGTAGAATAGAATTTAGGAAGTAAGATCTGGTAATACTTACTTGACCCTGACATTAACAATTTAAAGCTGGAAGCTCCTATGCCATTGGTCTGTGAAACACATGGAACTTTGCTATCTTTGCCAACTTAGGTGAAAAACCATAGTAGAAACAGAGAAATGATGCATCTGAAGTGCTGTTTCTTTCAAGAAAAGACTTTCCTGAGACTCTAAAGCTCCCCCCCCCCCGGTAATAAATAATATCCCCTCTGGTTTTACATTTTTGGTTATACCCTAACGGAGACAGGAGAAATAATAACTCTAATATGCTAAAAAAAAAAAAAAAAAAGCAATCAGTTTGGAAAAATGGTTCATTATAGTCAAAGAAAAATCTAAATTCTAAATATCCAAAGTAGACATATTTTATCAAAAAAATTCAAAAATATTTATGATATCCTACAAATATCCAACTGGGGAGGAAGAAAAGAGCTTTCCTTTAAAAGAGACTGAAATTAAGTTATTTTCTTCAGACTTCTTTGCAATTCTGAGTTCCTAAAGATAATGGAAAATTTGTAAATATTTTAAAAGGAGGAAATGTAATTAAGAATTCCATTCTCAGCCAGAGTATGTTGTGCAAAGACAAAGACCTAGTAACTGCTTGTGGATGCCCTGCTGACTGAGGGATTCAAAATGAAGAATTAAAGAGTAGAAAAACCAAAATCAATGAAGTACAGGGTTTGAGGCATAAATAACTACTGTGAATATAATCACAAAATTCCATATAAAATGAAACTATAGAAAATAAGGAAACACAGGGTTATGAGAATGAATAATTATATGTAAGTAAAATGGGTTCACTCCTTTCATTATCATTTGAAGTAGGGGAAGAAAGGAATGGAAGTAAAGGCAGATGAATTTCTGCTTCGTGTACAAGGCAGAATAAAAATTCCAGCATCTATGCTGAGGCCTGAAAGAACATTTTTGGAGTTGGCCAGGAGAATGGTGACTTCTCTGGTGACAACAACAGAAGCCTACTCTGGTTGAGATTATAGGAAACAGTTTATGGGAAGGATGTTGGGATTTCATAGAAGCAATGAAAGGGCAGGAATGCCAGAAAGAGAAAGAAATAGGCAACATTCTCCCTACCTATACTTCCCTGCTGAGATCTTGAATTTTTGTCAAAACCCCCATAGTAGTCATGTACAACAGACTTGGATTGTAATGAGGCCCTCAGAGCCTTGAAAGAATCATTTTATTTCTCCTCTAACAAGTGTTCTCTTGGAAGGACCAGGAGATATCAACAATCAAGACAGGAGATAAAATGAATTGTCAGGTAACTAGAAGCATCTCTACCCCTCAAAAAAATTAAGATTGTGTATTTGTAACTTCCTGATTTTTGCAAAAATTTTTCATATTTGGAACATCTAGATGCCTGAAATTACTGTGGTTATTTGCTTCCTGTAGTGCAAAGCCATGATTTTATTGAGTATGATTGACATATAAAAAGCTATATACATTTAGTTCATAGAGCTTGATGAGTTTGGAGTAAGCATACAGCCTTGAAACAATTACCTTAATCTATGCCATAAACATACACGTCACTTCCAAAAATTTTCTCCTGCCCTTGGTATTTACTATTAGACTGTTTTGTATGTGTGTATGATAAGAACACTTTACATAAAATCTACCCTCTTAGCAAATTTTTAAGTATATAATACATTGTATTGTTAACTATAGGCACTATATTGTATGATAGATCTCTAGGACTTATTCATTGCGTATAACTGGAACTTTGAGTAATACCTCCGTAAATCTTACCCCTCCTCCCAACCTGTGGCAACAAGCATTCTACTCTCTGCTTCTATGAGTTTGACAATTTCATATGAATCTTCCAAGATAATTTTTCAACTTAAAATATGTTACTACAAAGATTTGGAGATCTTTAACCAATCACTATGTTAATACTGTAATATCAAAGTACTATGTTGCATTATTTACAAAGTTCAAACTGAATACCTTAAAAGGAAGTAAAAAAAAAAAAAAATAATGTGGCCACTGTGGAAAATAGCTTGTTTGCTTGTCAAAACCAGAAGGTTGTTGTGAAGATTTAGCCCATTAATATAGATATAGTGGCTATTATTACATCTACTACAAAGCGAATAGCCAATACATGTTAGCAATCATTGAATTTTAAATAAATGCAAATCCTACATAAGTTGCTTTAAGAATAATGTCTATTTATCCTTATCTGTGCAGTTCTTTTTTACTTCATGCCTCACCATCTTATATTAATGATTTTTCACATAAAGGTGTTTTTAAAGACATTCACATTTTCTGACAGGTTTTGGGTTTGGTTTTTTTTTTTTTTTTTTTTTTTTTGATCTATATTTTTACACCCATGATTCACGAGTATGAATAAGGAGTGCTGTAAACAATGTAGATAAAATGCCTTTCTTGGATTGGAATCAGTATTCTTTTGCAATCTTTTAATGAGATTGGCTTTTTTCACAATTGTGAGAACTTGCTACATTCAAAAATTATTCATGTATTCAGATTTTTAGAGTTGGAAGGGACTTTATAGTGATATAAGGGGTTTTAGGATAGCAATACATGAAGAAGTTCAGTTTTTGCAATAACATTTATATGGTTACAATCAAAAGTTTTTGAGGCTAAGGATATAAGAGTTTCCTATCTCTATGGGAAGTTTTTGGTCTATCTATCCCATGATTCAATAAATGAAGTTATTTATTTGAATCTTGCCTGATTTAAGCCCTTTACTAAGAAAAAAGACTTAAAATTTGTGACTTAAAATTTTAGCTTACAAAATACTACTGAGCAGACTGTTGGCCTACTTTACCTGAGAAGAAATTCTGAGACTATTTACATGGAGCTGTGAATTTAGGTCTTTGTATATATGTTATAAATAGTAAAAGCATAAGGAAAGTATCAGCTGTAACATGTGGTGGGGAGTGTGCCATCTGCTATGAATATCCAAATAATTCTATTTGGACTTTTATTCCCCCACCTTCCATATTCCATTGTAGGGGTTTTATAATTTCAAAAGTACATGGCATTAAATCATCATAAAATCCCTCTGAAATTCATATTAGTATCTCCATTGGATAAATGAGAAAATTGAAGTAATCCACTAGGTATCTTGTCCCAGTCTATGAAGTTACTAAATGGTATAAGAGGGCTAGCACCTTCCTGCTTGATTTCCAGGGCTCTTATTTCCCCACTTCCTCTTAGCTGTCATTGCCTCCCTTTACACTAAGGACATTTTGATATGCTCCCTTCAGCATTGAGCTCAGTGCTGTGCTCAGGCAAAAATACCCAGTGAGTATGGAGGTATGTGTGAAGGAGGGGGGTTGGTGGGCAACTGTTGAGGACTCTGGAAGAAAAGGCTTGATGAGAAAAAGCACATGGGACTCTTAAGAGTAGCGAGAACTCTTTCTTGATCCCTATTGCAGAAAAATATGAAAAATTTGGAATGAAGGAAAAAACTTTGTACCTCTATTGATGACATCTCCCCATCTAGACCATCCCCTTGGGAATCCATTGACCTTCCGCTCTCCCTCTCCATCACTGTCAATTACTGTTCCTTGGCTTCTGGGCATCAGAGTGGGATGGATACCTGATATATCTTCTATTGACTTCAAAGAAGCCATGTTGGCAAAGGAAAACCAGTTTTATGAAAAACTGTCATGATAGTGATTCAAGGAGGAAAAAAGTAACCTAAGGGAATAGAAAGGATGTGCAAATGCTGAGATGAACCTTTGTTCTCTATTTATACTGTTCTCTACTTAACCAACCTGGAGACAAAACTTCCTATTGCAAAATCTCACTTCTCCTTCCATCCATTTTCTTTTAGGGTCAGAAGCATGGAAATTCAGTCAGGCAATTAAAAGGGGCACATCATCCCTCCCAACCCCTCTGAGTCCAGTAGCCATGAGGGATGCCATGTCCACTTGGATACCAAAACAACCTGTGTTGGGAGGCTGAGGACCAGTCAGTTCCATCCCTACTTCCTGTCAAGTTCCTCCACATCTCATCCTCATCACCTGTCATCTTTTGTATACATACCAACAGCACATCTAGTTTCATGTTCTGTGACTTAAACTCACTTTCACTTGCTATTTCCAGTCTTAATTGTCAGCATATACTTAGTTCATTGAACTGAAAATGGGGAAATCGTTCTTTTCCTTTCTTTCTCTTTCCTTCTCCCTCCCATGAACAATGAGTCATAAATCTGTCTTGTTTAATTCCTTATATACTTTTCTATATTTTCTTTTCTTCAATTCTCTTCCTTCTCATCAATTTTCTGCACTGCTTTCCCACACTCTTCCATCCTCCCAACACCAGCTTAAGTGTTGCCTGAACTTTTCCTTCTTTTCCTAATAACCCTTTATTCAGTTTTGATTCAGTTGCTGCCTTCTGTAGGCTTGGTCTGTTCCATCCAGGAAAGAGAGCTGAGTTTTCTTAACTCGAGACTTAGCCCATTATTTCAGTACATGCTGCTCCCAGAGACCAGTCCTTGTTTCATTTCAACTTGTTCATTCCTATAAGTTCAGGAATCTTATCAAGGAAGGGGCCTAACTTCTTTTAAGCTGGGGTTTTATGATGACACTTTATTTAGTTTTCATATCATAGGTTTGATATTTTACCCAAGTGTTTACATTTTTCACATTATACAATAAATAATAAATACTATATGGAATAAAGAAGAAATAAGTGCATTACTTAAGAAATGTTTAATGTAACCAAATAACTTTAGCTCTTTATCCAAGTACTAACATAGAAACCCAATATGTAAAACCAAGAAACAAGTAACTATCCTAGGTAAAACCCAAACACCGAGTTTCCCCATCTCCATGGATTCCCAAAGCGGTGTTCAGAGGGCAGTTTGAAAGCTGACCTAGCAGAAAGAAAGCTAAGCCAGAGGGCAAAGAGTTTCTAGTCTTATCTCTGAAACTTAATTCCATGCTCTCTGTTGCCTGACCTATGAAGTATAAATTAACACTGCTTTCCCCACCTACTTTTTGGGGTCTTAGAGGAATTTAAAAAGCATCTTTGAATAAATATTTTATGAAGAAAAATAACTAAGCAAATGCAAGGCTAAAATTAATGCTTTATTAATTAGAAATGAAGATAGGAAGTTGTTTTTGTTTCCTGTATGTCACCCTTTGGAGAAATGGGAAATGGGAAGTAAATTAGTTTTTTTACATTTCATAAATAAAGGAACTTTAAGAGTTTAGAATACATGACCCAGTTTCCATGGATAGCTTCAGATGGAATTATATGCAGAATTTCATCTGTGTATACAGTGTGGCAGGGAAGGGATTCACAGACATCAGAACATTAAGAACCACTGTCTTAGAAACATAGAAACTCTCTCCCTGCACCTTTACCCCCTTTGAATTTGATGGGCATCCTCTGCTTCTAGTCTACACTCTCTTAACACCTTGTATAATACTCATCGCAGTACCATCTCCTACTCTTCCTTTGAACTATGTAATCCTGTCATAGAGCAGTTTTAATATGCCATATGTTTTAAGGTAGGAAAAAACTCATAGAGAGTAGAATTATGTAAAACAACAAATGTTTAAACAAAGTTTTCTGCTAAATCTTTAATTGGCTAGAAAACATCATAACCAAAGTAATTTATCTATCACCTAAGTGTATATATATATTTTTAATTTGCTCAGTTAGGTCATAGCATATTAAACCCTTGTTCCTGGTAAAAGGTATATGAACTTAATCTCTGATTTTGACTTTTAAAAATAAATCTTTACAATTTTGAGAGTCAGCATCGATTTTTAAAAGATCAGGGATGAACCAATATTAAGTATGATGTCTATTCCTTTTTTTCTGTGTGTAGGGGGCCAGGGAAAGGAGACTCCGTATGGAAGTGAGGATCGAGTTTAGACTTGCCATAGCCCTTTCACTCATTTACTATAGGGCTGCACACATCCCCAGTCCAGGAAACTGGCAAGGAATTTTCAGTTGAAAACTACACAAGTCTGTGATTCTCATGCATTCTCCCAGCACAGCCCACCCCTTAGAGGAACCCTGAAAATATATGTACAGCTCAAGGCTTTGCAATGTTCAGGGTAACATCACATGGAAGTGAGCAACAGAAATATGGAGTGTTTCTCTGCATTTTATGGGGGCAGAGAGGGTGGGATAGAGGATACATTTCTTATAAGTACCCTGGCAAAATGAAAAATCATACATTTCCACTCTTAAATGTCTTTAATAACAACTTCATCGCAGTGGATCTAATGTGTTTGGTAACTGATTATAAAGAATATCAATTAATCAATTAATATCAATTAATACCCCAGTCGACCCATATGTTTCAAGAATTGGTTGTGAGTCCTAACCCTCACTCTGAGTCTAAGAATGTGTGAGTAAAAACGTGAAAATTGATCTCAGCATTCTGTTGCTTTAAAAAATGAATGTAACACATACAAATTGTTGATTATCTTTTTTTTATAAGGTAAAATCTTACCTGCTTTTCAGTGCCAGTCAACAAATGGGGTATGCTTGAAGTTATATTCTTCAGGGTGTGATCTTATCAGGTAATGTAGTGCTGTTTGGCTTCTCCTGATCTTAGTGCAAGAGAAAATAGGTCATTATTTTGTGGAAGATATGTAATACATAAAGATATGTAATAATAAAAATATGTCAGGATATACTTTATTTCACTTTGGTGTCTGCCCAGTTTGTTTTGTGATTATACTTAAAATATTATGAAGAGGGCTAAGAACTGGACTGCTGGCCTTCTTAGTGGTCATTCTATTCCTCATCATGCTTTATACTCTATTCTCTCTCTTTAGTGTGATGATATTATAATATCACATCTAGCAATAGCCTGATAGAGGAGTCCTTTCAATTATGGCCTTCAGATTTTGGAAGAAATTTTGCTCTCTGGGAAGGATAGTGAAGTCTCTTTATTCCATGATTGCTATATATCCTTCCTACACTATATTTTACTGAGAAAGGGATGCACAAGGTATATAACATATCTGGCTGATTTCTAAAGCAATTATTGACAAATTACATTCCCACCCAACTCCTGAGCCTGCAACTGCATGGCTCCATGTGACTTGATAGGATTCCCAAAAATGGTAAAAGTTCTAGTATTGGAATAAGGGAATAATCTGTTTTGAAATGTAAAATTTACAGTTTCTTTGGAGCATATCTAGGGAAGAGATAAAGACAAGTGAATTTCTAGTTCTTAATCATAATGAACTACATTTGAGTACATTCTCTTAGAATCTGGAATCAATACTTCCATATGTGCTCAAGAGGAAGCATAATCAAGGGCTTGTAAATCTATATTGTATGTGACAGTTAGCTTAAACTTTTTTGTTAGCAAGAGCAGAGGGGGTATGATGCAGTGGAAAGAATAGTGGGCCAAAATTATATAGGCTCAAGTCTGACCTTCTTAGCTATTAAAGTTTGGGCAAGTCACTTAAAGTTGATTGATTGATTGATTGATTCCTTCAGAAATCTTTTTTGCACCAGCATTATGCTATGACTTGGAGATCTTATCTGTGAGATAGGGACAGTAATTTGAAGTTAAAATGGGATAATACATCTGACAACATTGTTTGTAATTGAATGCTATTTATTTTGAATCATGTGGTGAAAATGAAAAAAATAAAAATACTTTCTAAAAGAAGTAATTGTATATTGTAATATATCATAAAATGTCTCATATTATTGAAAAGATTAATATAGGGTAACTTTTAAAAAAACATTGATTTTTGAGGAGATAGCTCTATCTTTGCAGTCAGGCATATACTAATAGGGCAATTCATATTGGTGATACTGGATGATATTTTCTGAAGTTGTGATGGTTCAGCTTTTACTCCAGGGACAGGTACATAGTCATAAACTGATCTTGACTAACATAGGAAATTTGTTTATCACTGGAATCCTAATTTGACTAAGGGAATAACTGTGGGTTCAGAATATTTGAAAATTTATTTCAGGAGTTTTAACTGAAGCTCATCAGATTATATAGAGGTAACAGCAGTGACTTTTGCTGGGAAAAATTCCAGTAGTCTGTCATGTTCTGCTACTCTTGGACTGGATTTGGTCTCATATCAGATTCTGAAATGAGTTGGAGTTGTGCACTGACTAATATGTACGTTCAACAGAAACAGGAGGCTTTGATCAATTTAAATGTCATAATTTTGTTTGATGTGAACACCAATGATTCCTTGTTGGACAGTGTTTTTATATAGACAATAAAAACCTGCTTAAAATTGCTGTTCTAACTTCCATACTTAACAAGGCTCCAGAACAGAGATTTGAAATTACTTTAAAAAACCCCAGCCTCAGTGTCTCACCCTGAGATACCAGAATGTAAGGATAGATGTGTAAGAAGCAGGGCTGTCCCCTGAATCCATTTACCTTCAAGGGATAGTCCCAGGTGGTCTTGCTCAAAAGAGGAAGCAGTCCAGGCAGAAGGAAAGGTCTGATCTGCTTTGGGAAGAAAACCAGTGCTCAGGTTGCTTGCCTTTATTGTCCCACCATAGCAAGTCAGGTCATAAGAGCAGATTATAAAATGTTCTGTGTCATCTATTTCATTTTCTTCTTCATAGCAGCACCATGATATAGATCAGGTGGGTTTTATTAATCTTTCTTTTATAGAGGA